CAAAAAACTCCGGAGAGATGGTGACAAGTTGCCATGTATATTTATTAAAGCAAATGAGCAAAGGCGTGACAAAGGTTGATAACCGAAATTGCTTGCACATATCAGGAGTAAATAAAATTTAAAGGATAATATTTAGCAGTATACTACATATCGCTTAAAGCACGATTGTGTACAATTTATTAGATAACAAAGTGGTGTTTTCATCTGATCCACAGACACAAAACAATCAAAAGCTGAAAAAGTGTGCCCTCCTGACAAACCTGCTCAAGTTTGTACTGACAACATCTGTGGCAAGCTTTACTGTCGTTGGAACCAATACGCACACTGCGTCATCGACATCTGTGGAACCTGCTCAGCAAAGTTTGTTAACGACAAGGGTGACGAGATTGACTGTAACAAAGGTGAAATAACGTGTTTAGCAGTCTCTAATAATGTATAACATATTCCACTTGATCCATACGCATTATAGCAATACTATCTGGAACATATAATACGGACCCTTATGTTTTTGTTTACCTGGCAATACACACATAAAAAGGGATGTTTTTCTTTTAAATCACAGTGAATTTGTGATAACAATTCTGATCAGGCAACATACAACAACAGGTAACATACTGCTCTTATGATTTCAACAGGCAAGATACTAACGTCGTTAATTATGAAGAAAGTTTTTTTTTTTATCTTCAGTGCTGTCGCTCATTTGCTTTTCCGAAGTTGTTCAAGCAACACATTATTTAATTTATTATGTCGTAATTGTTTCACTCAGTTCCAAGCAGGTGTGTGTTAGAACGGCAGCGTGGGGAATATCAGAGAATGGCCGGTGCAGATGATGTTGTTATTCCAGACTGTGACGAAGATGGGAGATACTCGGCAGTGCAATGTGACCTCGAGTCAGACGAGTGTTGGTGTGTTGATGACATGGGTGTAAAAATTGAAGGGGGAAATATCGGTACGATTGAGGACAAGCCAAATTGCCGTAAGTAGGCATATTTCACTAATATGATATATATAGGCAGCAGAAGGCCCCTGGTTCGAATCCGAGTTTGGGATTTTTTTTTTTACACTCCAAGGTTCCTTTTTTTTTTACCATTTACAACGTATAAAGCATGCATTGCCTCAAGATGATTTAGAGTTTATCTCTTCAAGTGTT